ACTTCGGCTTTCTGTTCTTTGAATTTTTTTAGGGCTTTTGATTTTGCATGAATAAGGTATACATGGCCATATCGCGAGTGGTAATCTATAAAATAGATAAAATATCTTTTTCCATTTTTGGTGGTCTCATTCATAGGTCCACATAAGTCACTATGAATGATTTTCAATACGCTAGTAGCTTTTTTTTCCCTGGTGGTATTTTTCCTTATTAGTTATTCTTGCACACAAGATTCACACACTTTGGATAAATCTCACTTATAATTATGAAGAATCCCGTCTCTTTTTAATCTTTCCATTCGTTTGATATTAATGTATTCTAACCTCATATGTCATAGGGTAGCATCTAATTCATTAGGGGACGAGACATATGTAATGTTCTCTTTTATTTCAATGGTAAATAGCCCGTCTACAAGTCGTCTAGTTATGATCACATCTTTCCCTTTCTTGACCACCACTTTGTCCCCAATGAAAGTGGTTATAAATCCAGCCACGTACATCGTAGGAACCGAAACCAATCACTTCCTCATATCAGGAGCATATAGTATTTGTTTTAGGATCAAGGTGCTCCCACTCTTTAGTTTCAGCTCAAAATCTCCAACTGCAAGTACATCAGTCTTTTGATTTCATCCTATATAAATATGCTGTTGTCCTGGCCCCATGGGAGTGAAAGAACGGTAACCTTCCTTGGCGTTTGTGACATGAGCCGTAGTGCTCGAGTCAATACACCAAGAAGCTACCTTGGGGTCAGCTAGCATGGACTCGAAAACCACACGTGCCAATTCCTTGTTAGTTCCACTAGATTTGTTGAACCGACAATTATTGGCTATGTGGCTCACCTTCTTGCAAATAAAACAAGTTCGAGTCTCTTTCTTTGCTCCCTTATTTCCAAAATCTATTCTTTTGAAATATTTTTTTTTCTCAAAAGTATTTCTTTCTTTTCTTTTCTTAAATTTAAAAGATGGTTGAGATTTTACCATATGCACAGCATCCCTTGGGGTTTGCCTTGAACTCCTCCTTTCTTCTTCTGATTTGATGGTCGTGATGAGTTCCTCCAATGTTGGTGCTTTTCTTCTAGTAGTGATGGAAGATATGAAAGTCTCCTATGAATTAAGAAGAGAATTCATTAAATGAATCACTTGCATAGATTTATTGGGCTTCATGCATGCATCTTCCAAATCTCTTAGTAGCGCACGAAACACGTGCACATGATCTTCAAACTTGGTACCTTCTACCATTTTTAAATCATTGTACGTTCTCATAGCCATAGTTTGCTTCATAGAGAGGGTCAGTATACTCTCTTTCAAGTTTATCAAAAATCTCACTTGTAGTATAGATTGACTTATACTAAAAAACATACGAGTCAGTCATGACACATAAAAAAATGTGTTTGCATCTCAAGTTTCTCTTCTTCCAGTTGACGTACTCATCTTTGATTATTTGAGACGAGTCGTCAGTTGGGCGATAAGATCAGTCAAAGACTACCTCATACAAGTTCTCTTTATAGAGGACAAATTTGACTTTTCTTTTCCATGAAGCAAAGTTTGTCTCATCAAACCTTTCGGTTTTCAGGATTTCAGAGATGAAAGTACGAGCAGCCATTATTTTTTATTCGAAAAAAAAATAAGAACAGACTCATAACGGCAATCAAGTAAAACTAGCTCTGATACCAATGCAAGAAAGACCTATATAATCTTATGCCGGGAAAATATAAATTTTTTTTTTTAAATAATAATCACCCCTTATAATTTTGGCAACAAGATCACTCACATATATCTTATTACAAACAATAAAAATTTCAAAAATAAATAACACATCAATAAAATAAATCTTAACTACTTGATGTCATTCATACAACCTAATACTGTGCTTGAGAATATAAAATAAAAGAACAAACAATTAAAAGAAAAGATGCCAATTAAAAGAAAAGATACCGGAGATAACCTCAACCGGGCTTTTGCACCCCACACCGAGTCACCACATCTAATGGCACGGGATCAGCGATCTAGTTTCAATCTCGAACCGAGAAAATTAATTTCGGTCAAACTAAGTAACTACCCTTAAATCTCTACAACACCCTAACGCTAAAATAATTAGGCTCAAACCCTAATTTTCTCAACCCTTAGATTAGATCATGAGAGAGAGAGAGAGTCTCTATGTTAGGCATGCCCCTTAACCTTACTAAGAGAGAGAGTAGAGAGAGAAAATAAGAGAGTAGGCAGAGAGAGGGGCGTGGCCCCTAGGGAAGATAGAGAGAAAGTTTGTGGGGGAGAGAGGTGTATTGAGATAGGGGAGAGCACCCCTATTTATAGTGAAATTTAGTTCTAAGGTTTTCATAGTTTGTCTCTTTCTTGAAATTGAATATAGACTGTTGATCAAGGTGACTTGTGGGGTGAGAGATATGAGCCATCCATTCCATAGATTGGTCATCAACATTATGGAAGGTACATGAACCATTATCTCCCTTTCATTAAACCATTTTCCCATCAATTGCATATTCCATCTCATATTTTCTATAAGAATATTTCAATAATATCTAGTCAAGATATTCCTTCAATAATCAAGATAAGATATGGTCAATATTTCCTAATCAACATTTGACCACATGCTACAAGATGTAGTTACCATTTTTAACAAACTTGAAGACAAAACAAGATAAGTTATCCAAGGGTGGGGCGTGCCACCCATGTATGGTATGTGGGGCCCCACCATAACCCACATAGTGGGCCCATGTGCACTATGGGCCCCCAGGTATTTTTTTTAAAATAAATATTTTAAAAATAAATTTTAAAACATTATCACTTTGTAAATTAATAACTTCATATTTATAAGTCCAAAAATAAGAAATAAAATATCAAATCACTTACAAAAATTCAAATAATAAATCTAAAATAATTTAATAATAAAATCAATACAATTAAATTAATATGATGGGAAGTGGATCCATATGATTCAGGAATTCAATCAACGATCACGGGGTACTCCATCTTCAACTATGGACTACATACCACATTTGTTTTATCGAACCGATCCAGTGTTTCCCATGACCCACAGTCTAAGCAGAGACTTATTAGTGGGTCACCAAAGTCTGATCGATGAGCCAAGGAGTCGCAATCCCAGTTTGTGGATAACAGGTCCTCCCCTAGAGACAAGTCAAGGTTACCACAACCTGATGCGACCACAGCTTTATGGCGCATAGGGGTATCTCTCGCACATGCATATGCTTCAACCAAAGGTGGATATCTAGCTTTCTCAAATGATCTAACTATATGCATGCCGTGTGATGGAATGTGGATGAGATTTTGGCCCCCGTCTCTATAGGCCTACCATCACACACAAGGGTCACACAGTCCCTCGGCTCACTCATCTAGGCATAAGCTCCGACCTTATCAAGGGCTAACCCAAAAATACTTCTCGGTTTATTTTTTATGCTCAGGTTCCTTGGGTTTTTCAACCAACTGGCTTAGATCGTCAAGCACAGCCTGTTATCTGCAAATATCATTTGTTTAGTATGGTCCTCGAGGGATCACACTCCCACTGAGTTTATATTCCACTATAGTAAATGTTTTTCATTACACGCTAATAAGCATACACCCAACACACTTTACTTTAATGTTCAACCTTATACAAACCACACCCTTACTTATATTCCCTTATGCACGATAGTTATTGTCGAGATTATCAATACCTCACCTTCTAAAATGGATTTTAAAAGGGGACACAAATCACCACATGTATCACGAAGACCAAACCGTAGAAATATACGAAAAAAAATGACCTAAGTATTACAATAAGTTGACTATAGTGAAGTACAAAAACTAAACCCAGGAAATATATGATATAAAAGATGACTTCAGTCAATTATTAGAATGAAATAACTTAAAGTCGAGTACTACGTTGCTATTAAAACCATTAAAGCCATTTAGAAAAGGGTAAGCATTTATGGTGGTTGCACCCTTGGACGGTGCATGTGTTTATGTCGGGGAAAGTTTGGTACGGTTGGTTTATTTTAGGGAAATTGATAGACGCCTCAAATTCGACTTTTTAACCCCCCCTCCATCCCAAATTTTTTTATTTTTTTATTTTATCTGCTCCCACTATTCATAAACTTCGTACTCAAACACCTATTTAAATTGAATTTTTTGTTTTTTGACACTTAAATGTAACCATTCAAAAATTTCAAGTTATTTTAAAGAAAAAAAATTAAAATTCAAACACAAAATGAAATCGTGACCGTCAAATCGGTTCAGATTCAATCTGAACCGTTAAGCTCATATGTTCATATGAGCTAGTGGCTAATCTCAGCATATATATATATATATAATCATGTTACATGTAACATAAAACATACATATATAGTTATGTTGCATGTAACATACCTATCACCCCATATAAGCTACCTACCTATAATTCCATAGTACAGCTGCTGTAAAAAAGAAGATGGGAAATTAGGGGTAGTTTGATGTCGGAGATATCATCGTACTGGTCTATATGTAAAAGAAAAAAAATAAGTGTAAGAGATTATCTGATTTTTCTAATATCAAACTACCTCATAAATTAGTCATCCAATATTTAGGGCATTGATCTATCCTAGAAAAAAAAAAAAAAGAAATACAGTCCTAATATTTTCCCATATTGGACCGGTGGTATAACTGAAATAAAAAACCACACAAAATAGGATCACCCCGTAAATTTTCCAAAATTTTAGACCAATGATATTCGTAAAATTAACCGCTCTGCAGATAAAGTTTCCTCAAAATTAATATAAATATAAATGATAAAAAGTGGCACACATAAGAAGTAGTGGCAGGGATAGCTTTTTCTACTTAAAAGCAACCCCACTAAAAAAAGACCCATCCATAATTGGAATATATGATCCACACTATGAACATGGGGAATCGATCGGCTCTCTCTCTCTTCTTTTTTTGTTGTCCTTTTTTTTTTTTTGGAAATGTTGCATTTGATTGTGATTTCAGTTCAGAACTGAAGCATTGACACTATAAATATGACCTGGGTTGCTCTTTCAACTCAGAACTTAGAGCATTGGAGTGAGAGAGGGTGGTTTTATACTATGGAAGTGGCAATTCTTCTTCACATGAATGGAGGCAGAGGGAAGAAGAGCTACGCAGAAAATTCATCGCTTCAGGTTTCATGATAATTGAATATTCTTTTCTCTCTCTGTCAAATGCACTTGTGTGCTAACAATAGTTGATGTTTTGTGCGCAGAAACATGGATTGGAGGTGGTTAAGCCCATAACTGAAGAGGCAGTGAGAACGATGCTCTCTGCCGATTTCACTGACAGCTTCGGGATCGTCGACCTCGGCTGCTCTTCAGGCCCCAACACTTTCTTTGCTTTAAGCACCATAATCCGAGCTGTTTGTGTGAGATATCAGGAAAACTCGAGGCCAATGCCCGAGTTTCGGGTGTACCTTAATGACCTGCCGGGGAATGACTTCAACTCCATTTTCAGAGCGCTGCCTTCGTTCTATGAGTTGATGAGAGAGAATGATGGGGTTCCGGGGTCGTGTTTCGTGGCTGGTGTTCCTATCTCTTTTTATGCCAGAATTTTTCCGGCAAATAGTCTGCACTTTGTTCATTCGTCTTACAGTTTCAATTGGCGCTCAAAAGTATGCCCTCTCTCTCTCTCTCTCTATCTCTCTTTCTCAAATCAATCCCTCCTTGGTAGTATGCCCTAACTCTCTAATGAATTGTTCATAACAAGTGCTAAAGAGACAGAGACGGGTCACACAGATGAGAGAGCGAAAACAGGTCTCCCACTTCATGAATTTTCTCGACCCAAGCTCACATAAATCATATTTGAAACTGTGGCAATGTTCTAAGGGTGCGATTTGCATAGAGCCAAGGCTCTAAACCATCAAATTAGAGCCTACCTTCAAATAGTGTCGACAAATATGGTTTCAATACTGAAAATCTTTGTGATAGTCTTAAAATATATTTCCATCTTTATTTATAAAGTTTAAAGGTTCGAAAATAGTGTAGATCGATAAATCTATGAAAACTTGAAAATCTTGAAAATTGACGGTCTAAAAATGCATTATAAAATACTCTATTTTCAAAACTTGAAATCTATTTGTTTTTCATGTCTATGTATTTTGATGTCGAGATGATCAATTTGATGATATTTGGGCATGAAAACAACCTCTTCTAGTGAAATTTTTTCGGTATTATCAAATTTAATTGTTTAGAGCCTCAGCTCTATATAAACTTTCCCATGTTCTAATATAGGAATTCATGTGGTGGCGAACTACCCATATTCATTTTAGCTTTTGAAAATTTACCACTAGTTCTTATTTTAAAGAAAATATATGGTGACTTATAGCTAGACTTTGGTCGTTGATAGAGCGGAATGGTAGAACATGATTTGTGTCGCTGACCGCATATAGTTGGGATAAAGTTCCGTTGATGACGATGATGGAGATCTTATGTTTTATAAAATAGAAATCTACCTTAAAGCAACTATTGAATTACATTAATTTTTGTATGCCTAGTACTTTCTTTTTGTAGTTTTTTATTAAAATTTTGTCACTAGTTCAATGCTGCAAACGACTGCTCTTATGTTTTATTTATGTGAATACACAGTTTAATAGGACAACCCCATTTCAGGAGTGATCCGATATTAGAAACATAAGGCCACCTCATATTTGGAATTTTTTGTTTCTTTCATTCAGACAAGTCCAATGTCTCCAAAATTAAGCCGTATTTAAATAAAAATTATTTTTCAAGATATTAAAATTTTGAGAAAACCATTTTGGTTAACACTGTGGTGTTTGCAGGTTCCTTCTGGGCTATACGATGAGGATGGAAAGCCCCTTAACAAGGGTAACATCTACATAACTGAAGCCAGCCCACCAAAGGTGGCACGATCCTATCTTCAACAATTCCAAAAGGATTTCTCATCATTTCTAAGGTTTCGTTCCCAAGAGGTGGTAAGAGGGGGCTGTATGGTGTTAATATTCTTTGGTCGAAGCTCAACACAAGAAGCTGATGAGGAGTTTTTCTTTCTATGGAGGGTTTTAAGCCAAGCCTTAGGAAATTTGGTCTCTAAGGTAACCAATCTAAAGTACTGCACTTTACATCTCCTGGGCTACAAATCCATGACATGGCTATTTTTGTGTTTGAGAAATTTGCTGGCTTGCTTGAGGACTTCTGGGATTAGATAGCAAGGTGATTTCTAGGCTGAAAAACTTTGGAAATGCCTCAGTGTCCTATTTCTCTCTTTATAAAAAGAATACCCCAAAAAAAAAAATCCCAATCCGACGCTAAAATCACACTAAGGGACGGGGCTCAAAATCCTAGTGAGTTAGAGCCCAAGTCCGATAAAAAACAAGTTTGACCTTCCTTACCTACCTTTGTTGTTGTGTGTGTGGACTGTATACAATAAAATCATTTACCTTTAGTACAAGGAAATAACAACCAATCTAGCTGCTAGATGTGAAATTGAGCACATGAGATGTGCCATTGATTAAGCGGAAACTCCAAACACAAGGAATTCCAAATCTTTATAACATATTTCTAGCTTTCGATTTCAAATCAGTGAAGTAGGGCGATTGTGACCTTCTTGAACCTAATATAATTGGTATTATAGTATGCAATCCACATCTATAGGAACTTGATCTTGTGAGCAGACCTGCCTGTGCTGCAGTATGGGCCAAACACCCAATTTAAACAATTTGAATGACCATGTTCACTAATAGGTATGCAGGAATTTTTATCATTTTTAGTTTGTGTTTGATTTTTTAGTAGTCTTGTCTTGTGTACACGAGTCTTATCTCTCCACAAAATTTCAGCTCAAAATGATCTATACAAAATTAAAAATAAAATGCTATCTTTATACACTAGCCATTGGAATCTAAGCCCTCCGGCCTATAAAATTAAGTAACCCTAGGCAGACCATGTACCTCATTAGCCTAAGGCAAACTATGGACCTCAATCTTGTTGGTGTCACAAGTAAAGTGTTTTTTTTTTGCGACATAGGGACTAGTTGAAGAGGAGGAGTTGGATTCATTTCATTTTCCCTTCTATAATCCATCTGTACAAGAAGTTGAAGAAGAGGTGAAGAGAGAAGGATCATTCACAATTGAGCGTTTCGAGCAACTACCCATAGCACCTTGGGGTGCTAACAAGAATGGGAAAGACTTAGCATTGATCCTACGAGCTGTGGTGGAGCCCTTGGTCAAATATCACTTTGGAGAGGATCTCATGGACATGTTATTTGAAGAATATGCTCAACTTCTTCAGTTTGAAATAAATGAAGGAAGGAAGAAACTGATTCATTTTGTTCTTGTCTTGAATTCAAAGTGAAGCACTTTGATGCTCCAATCAACAAACCATCCCTTATGGTAATCATGTCTATGTGTGAAAGCTTTGTCGGTAATTGATGTATTGATATTGGGATGCCTATTTGTTTGCATCATGATCTGTAGCTTACTTATTAGTGGTTTCTTGCTCTATTTGTGGGCAGTTTGAGTTAGAAGCTATGTACACCTCGATCCTGTAGTGTGGTTGCAATAGAAGTGTTTCTTAGGATTGCTTATAACTTGTACTTTATTTTAGAAAAATTTACGTCCTTACCATAAATAAAATAGGGATTTGTGTGGAGGTCTAAATTTTTGCAAATTTTATGCGGTGGTCCATTTATTTTATTTTTTCAATTTTGCCAGCTATTCGATGATCTAAACATTAAACTGCTTTTTTGTTTTATTTTTTAAATTTTTTAAATGTGCATGGACAGTCTGAGGTTTGGATTCTCAAACCTCTTGGCTTCTATGAAGATTGTGCAAGCCAGACTTCACATCTGCTTTTATAGGTGTGGCGAACTACTAGATTTATGCATTGATATCCTTTTTTTTTCTATGAATATCCAAGGAAGATGCACCTTATGGCTTTGTGATTAGGTTTACCATGATCCTCACGGCGCTGCACATAGGTTATACACTTGATAACACGAAATGTATGATATGTAGTTTCTTCTTGTAGATTACATGATGTGGCACCCTAATTCCATCTCTAAGCGACATAACATTAATTAAATATGCCATTGTGCGTATTGCTTAGGTCCAATATACTCGAGGCATTTTTGTTTGTTCATCATTGCACAAGTGGCTTCCACAATGTGTCTATTCTTCCATTCAAGAATCTCATCAAGTTAAGATGTACCAATACATGAGAGTTGTCTCAGGCTTTGGCGGTAGTATTGCTGAGCCTCATGATGAAGACTCTGACTCCATTCTCACCAATGGGTAGGGGCCCAAATCTCCACTAACTTACCCCCTTATATTTACCCAAAAAAATAAGTACACATGTCAGTTGCCTCCTAATCTTACTTTTTTCGATAAGTCATCAAATTCTTCTAACATTAATTTTCCACCATTACCTATCCTGAATTTCTTGATTCTCAACAAGCATTTTATATTCTTTGAAGTACCAAAATACTTCAACTTTGTTTGTAGAAAATAAATCATTGTGCACCTAGAATAATTGTCAATGAAAGTGTCCCCTCATTATAACATTACAATTTCTTTCAAGAGTCGATACAAAGAAAAAGACTAAAAGAAAAAGACTAGATGAAAAGAACAATACAAATTTCTATTAAAAATAAATAAAATAAAAGAACAAAAACACTCATAAAATTTAGTTATTTTTTATATGTGTGATCAGGTTAGCTTATACAATTCTCTAAGGAAAATGTTATTTGAAAGGAAATGAGAGAGAGTTCAAGGGACTTAAGGGAAGAGTGTAAAAATTTTGGGGTTATAGACCACATAAACTTTGATCTTAAAACTAAAGAGGCCAAGCTTAAACCAGATCCCCCTGGGCTAGATTCCCCTGTCATAATCTAATTGTCTACCAAAACTTCTCCAATTCTCACTTTTTTTTACAGGGTCTTGAATTATGTGGGACCTAATATTTATCTTAGGACATGTATATAATAAGGTCGTTCATTTTTAATATAACGATGTCGCAATTATATTGATTGTTAGATGTGAAATCGGATAGTTGGTGATATTTCGTTGATTTAGAACAAATTTTAAAATAAAACTTCTCAAATTTCATGACACACTTCAATTGTCAGTTTTCACATTCAATATAAAAATTATTATGACTTTCTTGTACCAGAAGTGAGTGGTTTCATAGTATGCAGTCCCTTTATCTTATGGAGTCGGTTTCTATGCGACCAAGCCTACATACGTAGAAATGCTTGCCTATTAATAAATCTATTTTTTAGATGGATTTTTTGACCTAATTTTTGGGGAAAATTACGTAAATATCTGTTATATTTTATGTTATTATGAAAATAACTGAAACTTTCCATTTTACACAAATGTCTGTTTTTTCAACTTCATAACAGTTTTTTTTAAAAAAAAGATGAAACTGCCGATTTTCGGTTTTTGAAAAACTGAATTTTTTTAAATTTTCAGTTTTCATAAATCAGAAATTTTTAAATTTTGGATTTTGAAAAATCAAATTTTTGTATATATTTTTTGGGTTGAGGCCAAATGAATTAACATTTGAAAGCGTTACGAGCACTTGCTCAGGGTTGCTCTCTTTTAAGTCTTGGTCGTAGACTCCATTGTCCCATGGGCAAGCTAGTTTTACTTTATATGTTTTTGTAGGAAGTGCTTTGATCGACATGTACGCTGTGGGGCTTGATTGATGACTCAGAACGAGCTGTCAATGAGATGGATGGGAGGAGCTTGGTTACCTGGACAATGATGATATCAGGCTATGTACAACATGGTGAATGCCACAAAGACCTGTAATTGCTCGAGGAGATGAAAATTGCGAGGGTAAGCCCTGATCCGGTAATCTTCTTAGCCGTGCTCTCGGCTTGTGGGCGAGTGGGTGTGGTGGATCAAGGGCTTTAATGCTTTGAAAGCATGGCTCTAGAGCATGGGAGGGATAAGGGGAGAGAAAGATGAGGCATTTGCAGTTTGTGAGGGAAACTTACGTTTTTCAAAAACCTAGAGAGGGAAAGAGAGGTACGTTAAAGAGTCTGTGGTTTAGAGAGAGATGTGGTTCTCCAAGCCATTCATGCGCTTCTCTAAGCTCCATGAAGGAGTTCATATTTCTCTCTTTTGGCTCTATGAAACTTTGGAAATTTTCTCTCTATAATTTATTTACCTAATTTTTATAAAAAAAATTGTTATGAAGTTAAAAAAATTAGACATATGTAATAACGGAAATTATTAAGTATTTTTGTAATAATAGAAAATAAAATGAATCTTTACGTATTTTTTCCTAATTTTAAGGAATGTCATCTCTAACTTAGAGATCATAAATATGAAAAAATAAGTAAATTTTAAAAACTAAAAATAATAGTTCTAATAAAAAAACATTTGAATCGTTAGTTTCCATTATTTTTAAATAGAACACCTGCTTGTATCTTCTTGATGGAGGCTTTACACTTTTTGGACCGCATATGTAGTAGTGCGGTCCAGCCCGCATGAAACAATTTTCCATATGACACTACGGATTCACCCATAACACACTAAGTCCTTCTACTCTCTGGCCCCAATATTTTTCTGGATAACCTTAAATTTCCTACCTTGAAACCCTTAGATCGGGTAAAGCTATTATATTTGATGATCTCATTGGAGGGCTCGGATACTCATGAGTCCACTGATTAAGAGTATAAAACTCATTTGAAATTACTGAAAACAATTTCGCCGTCGATCTATCTCTTTAAAGCTTAAAAAATTATGTAGATTTGATGATTTGCCAAGAATTAAAATGAATAGTGCAATTCAAAAATACCATTTTTAAAATTTCAGAATTTATATATATATTCCCATATGCATGATCGCCATTGTCTAGATTATCGACACCTCACCTTCTAGATGCAGTATCCATCTCTAATATGGATTTTATGGGGAAAACAAATCACCACATCTATCACGAAAACCAAACCCAAGAAATATATAATAAACAAATGTCACAATAAAATGACTTAAGTGCAAAAACTAAACCCAGGAAATATATGATAAAAAGGACGACTTAAGTCTTGACTTAAGTCAAACATTAAGTTCCTATTATAACCAATAGAAAACAAAATGACTTAAGTCATTGCTATTATAACCAATAGAAACCAGTAAAGCCATTTAGAAAGGGAAACATTTATGCTGGTGGCAAAGGGTTTTTCCACCAACCAAAGACAATAAAAAAACCTATTCCAACTTGAATGTACATTGGCATAGCGGTTTGGTGGATGTCTGTATGTCCGGAAAAGTTAAGTAAGGTTGGTTTATTTTATGGAAAATTATAGATACCCTAAATTGGACTTTTTAAACGCCTCCGCACCCTCCTCCCCCAAAATAAAATAAAAAATAAAAAAAAATATTTTTGGTGCACTTATTCTCTGCTCCTACTATTCAAATACTAAGTCAAATACCTATTTAGGAGGATTTTTTAAGCCCACAATTTTCGAAACCACATGATTATTTTCAAAAGAAAAAAAAATAACTTTTGAGTTTTATGACACTTAAATCTAGCCCTTCAAAAATTTGGACGGTCTCTGTTCAATTTTGAAGCATCAGTTTTTTCTATTACATAGAGAGTTTATTTCATATATTTTTTTTAACTCATATTATGGTTGTAAAGATTACATCCCCAAACTTTGGGATCTAAAAAGTATCCCTGTCATATGTTTTGCCTCAGGGAGTATATCCCACAAGAGCAATAAATCTTTTCATTTATTTTTGATACCACACTATTGCCTCCAATATTATTTATTTTTTCATCCATCCCTCAAGCAAAAAAGTTAATATTTTTTTACCAAAATATCTCATTTTGACTCACATTTCCCAATTTCTCTATCTAAGCCGGCCTGGTACATTTTTGTGCAAGACCGACACAACTTGAATATAGAAGCCAGTTTGACATATTTTTAATATAAGCCGGTCCAATGCATCTTGTGTCGGACCAACAAAATTTGAATATCAAAAGCCCTTCTAGTACATTTTGGGACGGACCATTGCTTTTTGTCAAAATTCGATCCTTCATATTTTGTGTTAGACTGGCAAAAGCCAATCTCACATATTTTTATGCTAGACTAGCGTAATGTTAGGCTCACATTTTAGAAATGTGGGTTAAAATAAGGGGTATTTTGGTTAAAAAATCAATTGTTTTGTTTAGGGGTTGGATGCAAAAATTAAATAGCATTAGGGGGTAGCTATAGTTTGCCCTTTATTTTACTGGAACTACAGCGTAGTCTAAATATTTGAAAATTTTATGTGGAGTTTCTACTTGATCATGGATCTTTATTCATATTTTTACCCATGGATCATGTTTTTTATTATTTTTATTTTTTCAGGCATTTGGGTGTTCAAATATCAGACGAATCTATTTTTAAGGTAGTAGGATATTAGAAATATCTATGGAAAGTTTTGACAAAGTTTTACATTGAAGTCTATCAACACAATCCACCTCCTTGACCCGGACTTAGGACAGGGTGAGAGAAATTTTAAGATCTTCAACCTTCTTGGGCCATGAAAATGTAGACAAGACTGGATAGAACTCAAAATGAATACCTTCAGAAGAACTTAGGTGTAGCTTCAATAGGTGATAAGATGAGAGAAAGTGGACTTAGATGGGTTGGTCAT